CCAGATATTGTCTACACAGTTTGCTCCAGTTTTATTACTTGCAAAATGAGTGTATGAAATGAGTGCAGAAGGATTGGGGCAGTGTGAACAAAGCTTTTGAGATCAGAGCATCATTCTCTAATATTGATACCATTAGTAGTCAGGTCTACTAAGAAATATATTGATTGTATGTTTTGTCAGTGTGACAGAAATAACAAACCTGTATAATTTAGTAAATACTGTGTAAAAAAAATAAAAATAAAAAATTCAGAAATTGTTCTGCATGTGTGTTCACTATTTGTAAATGAAATAGTGTGGTATTATACCAGGCCACCATGCATTTTAATATTTCGGCATTGGACTGTCGACCATCAGAAAATTTGTATTGGTTGACCACTGAGGTTAACTAATGTTTACTTTAAGGGATTGTATGGACACTTTAAGTTAATGGTCTTAATTGTTTAAACAATATTGGAAGCTAAAATTGTTAAATTCAAATCCACTTGTAACATTCAAGTGCTAGTACTTTGTAGGATGGCAGGGAGCAAAAGCAGCAAGCGCCTGGAGTTGTTATGGCAACCAGATACATTCCAAGCAGATTTGCTGATAGATGTTCTAGAATGAAGGTATCGGCAAAGCAACTTGCAGTGGCAATGAAACAGCTCTGCAGTGTGATTCTGTTGAAAATCACGAACGATGCCAGAGAACGTAGACAGCTGAAACTTGGAGGTATTTATGCTTTTTAGTGCATTGTCAAGACATCAGCACACACCTTGTGAAACTGGCATCGTCTCGAGTAAATCCTAGATCACACTTTGGAATGCAGCGGTCCGTGAAAGTGTGTTTCAGGCTTAAGATTCCATTTAGTTCCCAGAATGGTAAAAGAACAGAGGAGGAATGTTGTCTTTTCTGATTTCGAGCACACGTGCAAGGTTTAGATTAATTTGTGGTAAGCTCAGGCAGTCTGCCGAGTCACTACAGCTCGGAGCAGGTGGAGGAGCAACTGTAGGGATTTTTTTCACTATACAGAAATAAATTTTGTTTACTGTATGTCCTTTACTTTTAGCCCTGCACACTCAAACACATACATACACATATACACATGTGTCTTGGTCCAGGCAAATGGATATAAGACTATTAACCACAGCACATGTGCCATTCCTTTTATGCAGCACTTTATTAACTTTATTTTTAAATATAAGATAATATAAGAAATATCTCTATACATTCTTTACCAGTCTGGTCAAAATCAGCATACACAATGGCAAGAAAACAGAATGTCTAGCAGAATTGAAATAAAGAGCTAGTAAAACTTACTTAATTTTAATATTTGGAATTTTTTTTTTTCCTGGTATGATACTGATTTCTGTAATTTTATAAACCCAGGATGTAATGTAATATCTTTGAAATGTCTTTGTTTTCAAAGGATTTAGAGACCTATGTGAATAGAAAACTGGGTTGTATGATAGAAATTTGTGTATTAAATGTGCTTTTTTATTTTCAGAATGACATTTAAGCTATTTGCATACCAAATTTCTTACATTTTATAAATGACTTTAAATTATACATAAACCTTTTGGAACAAATTATAAACTAAAAGCATTGAACATGTAATATTGTAAAAGATGGGAAGTTAAAGTTTACCCTTACTTTATTTAATGACATTTTGATATAAAAATATTTTATAATTATTAGATCAGCGTAAAATCATAAAAGCTTCTGTTGTTATTTTCTTACAAAAAGCTATTATAAGGCATTGAAGGACTTGGAATATAAGTCATACAGACCTCTTTTATTGTATGTATGATTTTTTTCTTAAAGAAATAATACTTTTATTCAGCAAGGATGCATTAAATTGATAAAAAGTACAAAAGATTTGTATTATAAAAGATATGTTCTTTTGAACTTTTTTATTCATCAAAGAATCTTGGAAAAGATGTATCACAGTTTTCCACAAAAGTATTAAGCTGCACAACTGTTTTCAACATTGATAATACCAAATCAGCATATAAGAATAATTTCTGAAGGATCATGTGACACTGAAGACTGAAGTAATGGCTGCTGAAAATTCAGCTAATTGTACAGTTCCTTTAAGACATGATGGAGACACCAAAATGTACTGTATGGTAGGAATGACCTACATCAGATTACAGACCAAACACGCAGCCCTGTCACAGTCTCTTATTGTGTGTGTGTGTGTGTGTGTGTGTGTGTGTGTGTGTGTGTATGTGTGCGTATGTGCATTGCTCTCTTCGCTGTGTGAGAGTGAGTGAGAGAGAGGCTGAGGATGTTTTGAGTATAATGTGTTCGCTAATGGAGGGGGAAACAGGGCAGAGCAGAAGGGAATGAGAACATGAGTATGTTAGACTGAAAGACATATTAGAGAGAGATGAAGCGGCGTGGGTCTGCGGACAGCTGTACTGTGAGTAACTGATCCGAATGGAGGGAGGGGGATGTTCACAGGTCAAACACGCGCATATACACACACACACACAGAAACTCTCATTGAAACAGGTGTTACTCACGGTCACTGAGAAACCAGGTCTGCGGACAGCTGTACTGTGAGTAACTGATCCGAATGGAGGGAGGGGGATGTTCACAGGTCAAACACGCGCATATACACACACACACACAGAAACTCTCATTGAAACAGCTGAAACAGGTGTTACTCACAGTCACAGAGAAACCAGGTCAACATCAATCACATGCTGAGTTATAAATACACACACACATGCTGAAAATTTAGCAGTGAAAGAGTGACAGTGTGAGACAGAAATGGATGTTACAGATAAGAGGTGTTAAGAGATAGATTCTTTAAATAAACACTCATGTAGGCTGATCAACAATTTGACAATGTTGCTAGCTAAGATACCAACTACTCTATAAGGAAATGAGCTAAGCTACTGTATGGTGAAAGCTAGCCTTTAGAGAATTAGCTTGCTATACTTTATAATTCTTCATATAATTTAATCTAATACTGTATATGTTTATTGAAGAACCAAAATATCTACAAAATACAGCAGAAATTGCATTGGCTGTTTTTATCTATGTATATAAACTACCATTCAAATTTTGGTATCGTTAACATTTTTTTATGTTTTTGAAGTCTCCTCAACAAGGCTGCATTTATTTGATCAAAGATACAGTAAAACAGTACTATTGTGAATTATTATTCATGTTTTCCATTTTAATATATATTAAAACGTAATATATTCCTGTGATGCAAAGCTGAATTTTCAGCAGCTATTACTCTTGTCTTCAGTGACACGTGATCCTTCAGAAATCATTCTAATATGCTGATTTGGTGCTCAATAAACATTCTTATTATTATCTAACAGTTGCGTTAATAATTTTGTGGAAACCGTGATAATTTTTTTTTTTTTTAGAATTCTTCAGTGAATTAAGATGTTATTAGGAATCTTTTATTTGAAATATAAAACTTATGTAAGATTAATAAGCATCTTAAGTCTCAATAAGTAATAATTTCTTTAAAAAAATATTACTAAGCCCAAACTTTTGAACTGCAGTGTGTGTATGTTTTTACCTGTAGTCTTTCACAAGCTTCACGTGCAGTTGTTGAACCTAAATACTTTCTTCATAGCTGTGAATGCATTTGCACTGGTTTTGTTTCAGTTGACTGTATGCTCAAAAGAGTGATTCATTTGCAAATTGGGCACCGTTAATTCTGATTCTAATCTCTAATCTTGACTGCTGAGATATTGTCAGAATGAAACACATTTGTCAACAGTACAGCTACCTATAATTCTACTTAATAAAACAAATTTGCAACTGTAAAACTACATGATTTCAAGTAGCAGTGTTGCAACCTCACTGTTGAAAAAATTTATTAAAATATTAACTTTATTTATTTATTTATTCTTCTTATTATTAATGTATTATTTGTAACAATGCTACAAACAGTTGAAACCCATATACCTCCATATTTTATCTTGCCAGCAAACTTGATTGATGGTACAAGACAGCTAGCGGAATGAATCATAGAAAGATGATATAGTGTGTTTGCATCATAGACATATAAATACCTAGACGCCTCATTGGCCGCTTTGAGCCGTTGCTGCGATACGTCAACGCGTCCGCCATGTTTGTGAGGGCAAGACTGCCTTAAAAACAAATGGAGGTAAACGGAGGCGCTGCGTTTTTTTCTGGATAAAAACACAATAACATTTAAATTTATCAACCGATTTCAGAGGTTTGTGATCTACATGGAGTTAAAAATAACTCTGCCTCCAGTTATTTAGTTAGGCTTGGAAAATTATTAATTTTCGTAAGAAATTGTGAAAGAAATTAATAGTAAATTCTAAAGCAAAATAAATAATCATTAAATGTAGTTTTATAATAGTATTGTGTAATAATTATTAAACAAAGTAAGAAACAAGTAAGGGGGTGGTTAGAATATGAGCAGGGTAATTCTGGCCATTCATTCAGGGCTATTCTGGGTTGTAACTAGTACTAATACAACATTAGGCTGTGGAAGTATAGCCTACTCTCTTGGAAATGCAGAGAACAGGCTTTCTTCAGCTTTCCTTAGGGCTTGCGTTGTCCTGTTTGCAATTGGCTAAAAAGGAAAAAATATATATATATAATAAGTCCACAGATTTATGATAAACTATGAAATCCTTATAATCAAGTGATGATAAACTTACTCTTTGTAAATAAGTAACGTTAGTGAAATTAAAGAGAGATGCTTTAGCTCCATCCCTAATCCTGACAGTCTGGCATTGTCTTGTCAAAGGGCGCACTGTACATATTGTGCTCATAACACCATTTACTTTATGATATAAACTACAATATAAAGTTAAAACTTAAGAATTCATTTAAACTTTGATTTCATATAAAGTCTCAGCTTTCACAGCTTACTAGCGATATCGCTAGCTATTAATAGTCTGACACTCTATGGTTTGCATGACCTGTTTGACCTCTGACCTCAGGACAGCTCACTGACCCCTCACTTGATCAGTGACCCCTGATGTTGTGTTTCTCTCTCTCTCTTCCTCCCTCAGTAAAACCATACAGGTAAAAATCATCGATGATGAGGAGTATGAAAAAAACAAAAACTTCTATCTGGAGCTAGCAGAACCACGCATGGTGGACATGAGCCTTCAGAAAGGTAAAACACACACACACACAATGTACAAACCGAAAGATCACATCCTGTGACCATCGTCCTCTTTTGCTATTCATTTAATCTATTCACTCATTTCTAAATTCATTTCCATTCATCCAGTGGCTCTTTATGAGGTCATGTTTTATGTCTTCAATGTTGCGTCTTGTTGTTTGAGATTCACTATATAATACATTCACATACAGTACCTTTCAAAAGTTTGGAGTCAGTAAGATTTTTTTTTTAAAGAAATTAATACTTTTATTCAGCTAGGGTGCATTGAGTTGATCAAAAGTCACAGTAAATTCTGTTTTTCTCTAGTCATCAAAGAATCGTTGTCATCAAAGAAAATATATCACAGTTTTCAGAAAAATATTAAGCAGCACAGCTGTTTTCAACATTGATAATTATAGGAAATGTTTCTCAAGCACCAAATGATTTCTGATGGATCATGTGACTCTGAAAACTGGAATAACGACATTACAGGAATAAATAAAATTCTAAAATCTATCAAATAGAAAACAGTTATTTTAAAATGTAATATTATTTCACAATATTACTGTATGTTCGATCCAATAAATGCAGCTTTGTGGACCAATAGAGACTTATTTCAAATACATTAAAAAATGTATTATTCCAAACTTTTGAATGGTGGTGTACATCTGCTTTCACTGTATTATGCAATTTTTCTGACTCTATGAATGGATGCTACCAGTAGAGGGCACCTTGGATGACCCCATCGGTTCAAATAGAGCCAGTATAAAGAAATGGACTAGTCATAGAAAAATAAATGAGAAAAAATGTTTTGCCTACTTTTAGCTGAAGAAGCAACACTTTTAAACAATTTTTGTCAGATTTTATTTTTTATATACATTATTGAAACAAGGTAGAGCCCTGCACGGGCCTCAAATATAGGCCCGGCCCTGGCCCGATACGCTCAGGCCCTAGCCCGACCCCGGCCAGACAGCTTATCAGAATTACCGGCCTGAGCCCGTCTTTTTCCCCACCTTCTCCCAAAACAGCTTACTACTGTTTCCGCTATTAAAATAGTTCAGTTTTGTATGTAATGTCAAAGTGATTATATTTCGTCATTATGTTTGATCAATTTAGCCTTCTCAAATCATCACGACTTGCCTAAAATAAAATTTATATATATAAAACAGTTCAAGCATATCGTAATGTAAGTTTAAATGTTTAACCTAAATGTGCGCTATTAGACGCATATCTAATCGTTTGTGCAGAGAGCTAAAGCGCTTTCAGGACATGGAGGTGCCGGCGCGATCACTTGCATTGGAAACAACTTAAAATATGCCGTAATTTTTGCTCATAAAGGTAGGAGTAATATATCACTCGGAACTGTAAAGGGTCTACTTTAATTTGTGTGCACATACAATATCAACAAAACGTTGTGCTTTTATAAAATAAAGGATACAGGATGCGCTTTCTGCAATTTCGGCCAGGAGCGCTTCACAATGATGAACCGAAACTCAGCGAATACTTGCCTCATAGACTTGCTAAATATATATATAGAAAGCTTTAAATTACTACTTTAAAACTAAATAATTAAAATCAAAAACAAAAACTCTTTTTACGGATTTTATAAAATCTGTAAATATGCATTTCTCTGTAAAGGCGCGTCCATTGAGGAGATGGCGAGTCAGGATCATCTTTGCGACACAGACTCAGAAAACACTAATTTATTAATAAATAATTCAAATATCTCCTTACTATTTCCCCCAGACACATTCATGGTTACTTTTGCTGGGGCTTTGAGACACGCTTTAGACTATTGCATGCATTTTTTGCTGTCATGTGCAAAGATATGTTAAGATTCTACACTCAGGGTTCCCACGCTTTTTGAAAGTACTTGAATTTCAGGCATATGGATTCAAGGCCTGGAAAGTACTTGAAAACAAACATAGGTCCTTAAAAGTGCTTGAAAAAGAAAATATTTTGTATAAAATAAAAGTAAATTGTATTTGAATATTGAATATTTGAATATTACCAGTACTGACTTCAATGGATTTCATTAAATTCCTTTGAAAACAACTGCTCAAAACGGAGTAAATTTATGAAACCTACACATTCAAAACGTTATTACTCTGAAATTTTTAATGTAAATGTTAAGTGTAAGTGGTGAAATGTTAAGTAATGTAAGGTCTTTCATGACACTACATATGCTGGGGTGTGAATTTGATAGGTGCTTGATATAAAATAAATGGTGCTTTAAAAAGTCCTTGAAAGTCCTTGAATCTGGTGTTCATGAAAGAGTGGGAACCCTGTACACTGCACATGACCAATTGACTCACTGTTTGCCGTGGTAATCAAATCAAAACTCTTCCAAAATGCAGCTTTTCCCGAAGCACTGGGAACTAGTAACTCCCCATGCTCCAACTTCTCCCTGATGCTCTGCATGGTCAACTGTCACCTGTATGCTAATTCGTGCGTATACACGTTGCGTATTGCGTAGCCGATGTATAATATTTATAATATAATCAATAAAACAATATTTCATACAGTAGTGTGCTCTGCGCGTATATGGGCACAATAAAAGGAGTGAAGCTAAAAGAGCCCAAGTCCGACCCGAGCCCGATCTGTAAAAAAAAAATAAAAAAGGACCCACTGGGCACAGCTCTTAAACTGACTCATCTCCAACTCACACAAGAAATGCTGCCATGACGTTTTTTTATTGTTTTAGAAATGGCAATGTTACTGTCTTTATCTTTCAGTTTTTATATAGTTTCCGAAATGTCTTGAGATTATTGTTTAGGAAACTATGTGAAGGATTAGCTGAGAGTGTTGCTTTTTTCACTGACTTCTTTGGAGTTTCAGTATGCATTGACCTTAAATGCCAGTATGGGATCTCAAAGAGTGTGAGAAATGAATACAAACACACACACACACACCCCAAGTAGTCAAGTGTGTCTCTCAATATCTCTCCATAAATCAGGCAGACGTGGTCAATGCTACCAGCACGCACACCGCAGTGCTGTGGTGCAGTGTACGTGTGTGTGTGTTTGCATGTATGCATGTGTCCTTGTCCCAGTATTATACCCTTCAGAAAGAATGAGAGATGAAGAACAGCTGGTCCTCTCTGTTTGAGCTCTCATCTTGCCTGGACAACATTAAACAACCTATTTATGAACTTACCTAAGCCACAAAAACAACATGTTGGCTTGACTCCTCACTTGTGTGCTTGTAAACAAGCAGTTTATTAATTATTCATTAGATTTTTCTTTATTTTCATGCCAAGATGGATTCAAATAAGATTAAATTTTGATATTCAGAGAAATCCAGGGGGGGGGGGAAAGTTCCTCAAAGTTAGATATATGCGCATTCATAAGTGCAATTTGTTTGACAACCAATAATAAAATATGAATATTCTATGTTTGTTTCCATGGAAAAATGCACTCTGTTAATTGCAGGAATTTTATAAAGCGCTGTTTGTAACTTAATGATCGTGGTCCTAATTCTGATTCTTTCTAATAATTCTGGATTTTTGATGATTCAGTGAACAATTCTAATAATTCAGTGAGTGAGTTGTTCACCCGAGAAAAAAAAAAAATCTGTCTATCTTCATGTCTTTCCAAACACTTATAATTTTATTTTTATTTTTATTCCTTAAATTTAGTAACCAGACTGACTCACTCATAAGGGTTTTTGATTTGCTTAGAAGAACCACAGTCTGTTTTTGTACACTATTTGCACTGTTATGATTCACGCTGTAGATTCAGTAACGCAAGTTGTTGTTTTTTTCTTTGCAGAGAGATAAAACATTGTATCAAATGGGTTGTAGATGTTTTTGACACTGAACCTGTAATAGAAGACACATCACTTGTCCTACATCTAAACATGACTTTAGAACTGCTGATCCTGTGCTGTCGCTGCATAATATGTGAGAGCGGTTGAGGGATCTAAAGAAATATTCCCAGCTTTATACATCTGAATACAGGATGCTTTCTTTGGCATTGAACCCTCTTATACACCAACTGGATAAATATAAAAATGTGGCGGTAGAGGCAGTTGTGAAGAGGGGGGTGAGACAGGCAGGAAAGCTGTGAGACAGGAGAAAGAGAGAGACAGGTAAGCGATGGAAAAAAGTTAGGAGAGAAAAACAGGAAAGGGAGAGGGTGAACATTGTTCATTTTACATAGTATTTTATAAATTAATTTTTTTCTTTGTTTTAGTCATATTTTTTGTCTTGACAATAGATATGAAAAAGATAGGAAATATCTTATTATTTTTTGTTTAAAAAGTATTTTTAAATTAAATTAAATTTAAACTAAAAAATTTTAAATATTTTTTAAAATATTACTATTTTGACAAAAATATTCATTAAATGTAGTTATATTAATTCATTTTAGTCCATTTGACTTAATTTAGTGCTTGACAAAAAGTAATGCAAAATTTGTGACAAATATATTTGTAAAAACAATATTTTTAATTTGATATTTATTTAAATGTGTATTGACATTTAACAAAAAAATTATTAACATTGTACAAATAAAAACTAAAGATTCCTTTCAATTTTCACATTATCTGAATACTCATTTGACAGTCATATTCTTCATATTTTCTTCAAAAACATTACTAGTACTTTAATATCTTACAGTATTTTTTCGTAAACAGTGTGTTTAAAACTAAAATTGCTTAATTCTCGTCATGATCCCAATTTTTCATCTCATCTTTGTTATTAAAAAATATATTTTTTAAAATGTTGTTAACTAACATTTTTTCAGCCATTCATAGGACATTAACAGGGACATTAATGAGGTTTTGTTTGGTAGTTGGTAAACAAAGACAGTGAGAGACAGACAGGATGGTGATAAAGATGAGGAGAAAAGGACAAGCAGAAGAGGTGTGAGACAAATAAGCAGAGAAGGGTGAGAGGCAAAGAAAGACAGAAAGGGTTGAGCCAGGTGAGGAGAGAATGACAAACAGAATAGAGTGAGAGACACATGAGAAAAGTAGGAGAGGGGTGATACAACTGAGGAGGACAAACCTGCAACACCCCTACCACATGTCCCAGATGAGTGTGTTTAAAGAGAAGATCATCTGTAGTGAATCACTCATTATGTGTGTGTGTGTGTGTGTGTGTGTGTGTGTTAGAGGAAGAGATCTCTGCATTCACATGTGTCTGATGATGGAATAGCTGTGAATGAGCCAATGACGGGAGTTTTCGTCTGAATATCGACACCTACATCCCACGATCCCATTACCTCACAGAACGGAGGGAGGAGAGAGCCGTCTGGTATCTGTTGCCAGGGTACCATCAGCTGTTGCTAGCGCTGATGTGCAATAGATTTACACTGAACTGTTGAATCGAAGCTTCCAGGAAAGAACAGTGAGAGAGAAAATGTGGCGAATAGATTAAATGAATTTCTTTGTGTGTTTGACACATCTGTGTGTTATCATGAAGCAGACGTGTTGAAAAGCCTAGAGCTGACGACACTACACAAATTACAGGTTAATAATGTGCATCAAGACACATCCCCCCTCCACCCCCAACCCTACTCGCAGACACATTCAAGCATAAATTATGGGCTTATTTACACATCCAGCTTCTCATTATAGGTCGATATTTTCATCTCAGCACACACACACACAAACACACACACTTAATCAAAGCTTGTTTGTTCGCCATCTCATTCATCCTCAGCAACAGAAAATTACAGCACTGATTACAGAACTATTAAAGTCATTATATACACAGAGAAAGAAAAAGAGAGTAATGGAGAGACAAAGAAATTGATTCCTTTAGTTAGTGCTATTTTTGTAAATGTGCGTGGGTGCTGGTGCTAGATTAATAAATGATGTAAAAAAATGTATTTGTTGTTAATTCAGGAAACCTGATGCATTAACTAATTGAACCTTATTGTTATAGGGATAGTGAATTAAATTCTCTCATCATTTAGTCCAGTGATTCTCAGGAAACATCCAGGGGACTCCCAAGATTTAACTCCAAGAAACTAGCATTAAATTAAGCTAAAATCAAGAATTTGAAGAACTAGAGCTCACATTATATTGAAAATTCTAAAAAAGTGTGGTTTCTAGACCTGGTAAAGTCATGTAAAATAATAATATCTTAAAGGTGACATATCATGAATATCTGACTTTTCTGTTTAAGTGCTATATTCGTCTCTCCAGTGCATCTACAAACAGTAATTTCTCTGCAAGATTTTGCTCCCTCCATGATGTAGAAAGGGAACCTTATTATAATATTACTGCCCCGTAATCTGCACCCACCTAAACTTCCACCCATGGCATCGCCACTGTGTTTTCACTAACGACAGTGGTGTACCAGTTCTAACGCCATGGCAAAAGTTCTAGAAAAGCATGCTAACTGCTCGGTCTTTGGCTGCACTGTTGAGCAGTGGATTTATTGATTTATTTACTGTATATTACGCTGCTGCCACACAGATCTAATATAAACATGATTTCTTTCCCAGCTGTTTACCTTCACAGACATAACCGGCTGTTTTGTAACTTGGGTGTTTTTAACAAACTTGTGTGTATTTGACAGTTTAAGCATAATAAGACATGAAAGAGAACTTAGTTTAGTACTCACATGCTGTGTGACAGCTGCTTTCTGTGTGCGTGCTTCGGATGTAAAAAGTCATCTTTAAGTCAAGTCAAGTCAAGTCACCTTTATTTATATAGCGCTTTTAACAATACAGATTGTGTCAATAAAACTCCTTAGGCATTTTTATATTGAATATACATTTTTGTAGTTATGCCAAGCTCTAAAATATTTTGTTGGGTAGAAATTGTTAGTAAATTTAGCCAGAAAGTCACGAACAACTAGGAGGCCTTGGTGTCAAAATGGTTAAGAACTTCTGATTTACTCTCCCTTATATGTCATTCCAAACCTGTATTGCTTTCCTTCTTCATTAAACATATGTATATATATATATAGGGATAGGGAAAGTAAACGTGTGTGAATAATCAGCGTAGCTTTAGCACCTCTTTGTTCTGTCACCACATCTCAAATGCTACTACGTCACTCCCGTTGCCAGGGGCAACCACCTGCTCCTGCGCTCTGGATCGGCCCACACTATCACATCTGCGCGGTCACACCTGTTGCACCTGTCCAGCTCAGAGATTCCAGGCAGGGTGATGAAACGGCAGAGGCTGCGAATATTTTTATTCATGTTTATCTGAGTAAATAAATCCTGTCCAACATCTCATTGCATTTCCCTTCACCATTATCTGTCTAATGTTTTCTTCATGTCATTCCACCCCTCCCTCTCTTTTTTTCCTCCGCACACAGCTCTGTTATTAGCTGATGGTAAGTTTGAGTGAGTGTGTGTGAATGTGTGAGGTAAGATGAGGCCAGCTGCGGTAATCGTGGTCTCGTCTGCCTCACACACGTGTGTCTCCAGGTTTGTGTGTTTTAACACGTGCACGAGAAGATAAGCTTTGGGTTGCAGGGGGTTTTGAAAGTTCATCTCAACTTTCTGGCTTTTCTACGTGTATTTGTGGTGTGTGTGTGCGTGCGTGCGTGCGTGGATGTTGTGCTGTTGTCCTTCTGAATCACTCAGTTCTATAGCACAACTCACACTTGGTTCAGTCAAACAGAGTTTGGCTGTTAATCTGTTGTGTGTGTTTGCATGTGCAGTCTTTCTAATTAGAGAAACTATAGAGACAGTTCATAAAATAAAACCAGGACCGGTTTCTGTACAAAATTGTTTGTAAAAACGGTGTTACGTAAGTAGTCACATTCGATTCAGTGCGACAAGTTATGTAAGAATGACATTATGAACGTTTTACATGACTTTGCTGTGCTTGTGTTTCATGAATGAGCCCTGTTGACCCTAAATATGCACATGAATTTAGTGCAGTTTATAGAGACCATAAATGAATATTCAAAATAATTATTGCAAGTGTATAAATCACAAGTCATTTAAAAGGGACAAAAAGCCCACTTGTAGAGGCTGATTATAGGGTGCATGTGAATGATGTGTTTACTACTGAGTGTGTGTTTGTTTGATGTACTAATTTGACACACAGCACAGAAGTTTCTTTTCATCCCTTTATCTCTTGTAGATATTCCAGACAGGAAGTTGTCATCAGAAGAGGAGGAAGCCAGAAGAATAGCAGAGATGGGGAAGCCTGTATTGGGCGAGCATGCAAAAATAGAGATTATTATTGAGGAGTCGTATGAGTTTAAGGTACAAACACACACATACACACACATGCATACAAAATTTCAGAGACCAGCAGTCTTTTGCATTATGGAAGAATTGTATTATGCGTATTTATGTTTAATGTAATACATTTTGTGTTTTTGTGTGTTCGCTGTAGAGTACAGTAGATAAGCTGATTAAGAAGACTAACTTGGCTCTGGTCGTGGGCACAAATTCCTGGAGAGAACAATTCATGGAGGCCATAACTGTCAGTGCAGGTGATTACCAACACTAAACAACACTGAACCAAAAGTGAAAAAAGAAAATTGTGTTCAAATGTTTTGCTCTTATTTAGCAATTATTTGTTTTTCCCTCTTTCTATTCTATCTACTTGTTTTCTTTTTATTTATTTATTAAAAACAAACAACAACAACAAAACTTGACCCTCTAACACTAGCGTTCTCTGTTCTTTTTCTATTCTATCTACTTGTTTTCTTTTTATTTATTTATTAAAAACAAACAACAACAACAAAACTTGACCCTCTAACACTAGCGTTCTCTGTTCTTTTTCTATTCTATCTACTTGTTTTCTTTTTATTTATTTATTAAAAACAAACAACAACAACTACAAAAAACTTGACCCTCTAACACTAGCGTTCTCTGTTCTTTTTCTGTTCTATCTACTTGTTTTCTATTTAATTATTATAAAAAAATAATAATAACTTTATAACCCTCTAAGCTATATCTATTCTATCTCTTTTCTCTCTACTTTTTATTCTTTTTATTTACTATAAAAAACCTTGCCTACGTGTACTGCGTTAGACTAACTGGGACTTATGACAAAACTTATATATTGTTGCTCTTTTGTTGTTTTGATTGCTTCTATTACCATCATTTGTAAGTCGCTTTGAATAAAAGCGTCTGCTAAATGATTAAATTTAAATGTACTTTTATTCAGCAAGGATATATTGAACTGATTAAAAGTGTTAATAAAGGCATTTATAATGTTACAAATGATCGCTATTTCAAATCAATTCTGTTCTTTTGAACTTTCTATTCATCAAATTCATCAAATTTTTGAATGGTTTCCACAAAACATATTAAGGAACTGTTTTCGATATGATAATAATAAATGTTTCTTGAGCAGCAAATCAGCATATTAGAATGATTTCTGAAGAATCACGTGACGCTGAAAACTGAAGTAATAATGCTGAAAATTGATTTGCTGTCACAGGAATAAATTACATTTTAAAATATATTAAAATAGTTATTATAAATTGTAATAATATCTCACAATATTACTGTTTACTTGATTCTTGATCAAATAAATGAAGCTTTAAAAATCCTACCGACCCCAAATATTTGAACGGTAGTGTAGATCACCTCAAAATTCACAGAAAAGCAACAAAAGCCAGTTATTATATAAATATACACTCATGCTCATATTGCTCACACACAAATATTTCTTTCACTGTTGTGACACATTCCTCGGCCCACATGAAAACTGAGCCCACAGAACTCCTACACGCTTCTCCTCATCCTGCAACCTTTGTCTTCTAAACATTTTGGCTAATTTGATCATTTCAGATATGAATAAGAATGTACTATTATCAGCTCTGTTTGATAAGTTTCACTACAGATTTCCCCCCAAATTAAAATGGAAATGTCCCGCATATTAGTCTTTTATGACCCTGTGTTGAAATAAAAACGCTGCTCTCACAGTATGTAGCCTTCAGTTACCGTGACTATCAAACAGCCTGTGTTACCAAGGCAACAGGACCCCTAAATCACCATGGTGTCAAATAGATGGCTTTGGTCAGGTATGGAAGTTGACATGACAATACTAACATTTTTCATTTTCTTTTTTTTTCTACCCCCCCATTCTGCTTTCCTTTCTTTCTTTCTTGCTTTCGCTCTTTATTTCTGTTATCCTGTCTTTATCTCAGGAGATGAGGACGAGGATGAGGGGGGAGAGGAACGTCTGCCATCTTGTTTCGACTATGTCATGCACTTCCTAACTGTGTTCTGGAAAGTTCTGTTTGCCTGCGTCCCGCCCACGGAATACTGGAATGGGTGGGCGTGTTTCATTGTTTCCATAGTGATCATCGGTCTTTTGACTGCTGTGATCGGTGATCTGGCCAGTCACTTCGGCTGCACCATTGGCCTAAAGGACTCGGTCACCGCTGTGGTGTTTGTAGCCCTGGGAACATCTATCCCTGGTGAGTTTGCGTACACTTTTATTTGCATACATTTCTATTAGAGGTCGACCGATAGTGGATTTTGCCGATACCGATAGCTAGGTTGGACCACACTGCCCGATACGATTAATTAACCGATAGTTTTAAAATTGATACTGAACAAAAACTAAAATAGTGCTTTATTAACAAAAACAGTACTGAACCACTAGTAGTAGTAGTAAAAAAAAAATATAATAATAATAGTAATAGTAAATGTTGAAATTAACACACTCTAACAAGGAACAATACTTACACAACTTTCATTAATCTTAATGCTACAAATGGACTCTTATTTTAAAGTGTTACCATTTCATTTCAACTGTCATGCTTAAAGATGCACATCTTTAAATATATACACAAAGGCTATAGCATTAAAATTATATACATATGGATATTGTATGTATACTCTCACACTTTAACTTCTTCTATTCTTGAACACTTGATGATTATCTAATCAAAATAGAAGCACAGCGCTGAGTCTAGGAGAACTGCCGATTAATCGGCAAAACCGATACATCGGTCAACCTCTAATTTCTATAAGTACCAATTTAAAGGGGTCATATCATTTACACAACTTTTCGAAAGTTTAGGGGCAGTAAGAACTACTTCTCTTCAGCAATCGCATTAAATTGACCAAAATTAATAGTAACGATATTTGTAATGTAATAGGATTTCTATTTCAAATAAATGCTGTTCTTCAGAACTTTCTATTGAAGAAATCCTGGGGAAAAACTGTTACAGTTTTCACAAAAAATTTTAAGCAGCAAAACTCATTTCAGCATTATTAAAGGAACACTCCACTATTTTTGAAAATAGGCTCATTTTCCAACTCCCTTAGAGTTAAACAGTTGACTTTACCGTTTTCTAATCCATTCAGCCAATCTCCATGTCTGGCGGTAGCACTTTTAGCTGTAGCTTAGCATATATCATTGAATTTGATTAGACCGTTAGCATCTCGCTCAAAAATGACCAAAGAGTTTCTATATTTTTCCTGTTTAAAACTTGATTCTTCTGTAGTTACATCGTGTACTAAGACTGACGGAAAATGAGAAGTTGCGATTTTCTAGGCCGATATGGCTAGGAACTATACTCCCATTCTGGCGTAATAATCAAGGAACTTTGCTGCCGTTCCATGGGTGCAGCAGGCGCTATGATATTACGCAGCGCCTGAAAATAGTCCTAGCTAGGTAACTGCCAATAAGCCTATTTTTTTCAATTATCTATGCTAAGCTAAGCTAAAAGTGCTACCGCCAGACCCGGAGATCGGCTGAATGGATTCGAAAATGGTAAAACTCAACTGTTTAACTCTAGGGGAGTTGGAAAATGAGCCTATTTTCAAAAATAGTGGAGTGTTCCTTTAAAACAAAGAAAGGTTTCTTGAGCACCAAATCAGCATATTAAAATGATTTTTGAAGAATCATGGTCCCCAAGGTCCACTTATAATCAATAAAGTTGTTTCTGCCAAAATCAATCATAATTTGGTTTTGTATGACTATTTCAAGCCTCTCTCGGGCCCTTGATTTTAATGAGGCTGATCTGTCTGACATCAAACAATTGTGAGGGTTCACAAGTCAGTTTTGCTGTTTAGTTTTAATAAATGCTCTTTTTGGATTAGGAGGACGTTTTGAAAGTTACAGTATGTTTTTATCATACACTTAACTATTTTAGCTCATAAAATCAATACAAATCTGATTCCTCCTGATTTGAATCCTTTTAATGCTTGTTAATCATAGATGATCATATTTTATAATAGCATACACATCAACATGTCTCTTTTCTCCTCAGATACCTTTGCCAGTAAAGTTGCAGCGGTGCAGGACAGTTACGCAGACGCATCGATCGGTAACGTGACCGGTAGCAACGCTGTGAACGTTTTTTTGGGAATCGGTGTGGCGTGGTCGGTGGCCGCCATCTACTGGCACATGCAGGGTCGTGCGTTCGAGGTGCAGGCGGGTTCCCTGGCATTTTCTGTCACTCTCTTCACCATCTTTGCCTTCCTGGCGGTGAGTGTCCTGCTGTACCGGCGCAGGCCTCACATCGGTGGAGAGCTGGGCGGCCCGCGCACACAGCGCATCTTCACGACACTCTTTTTCTTCGGCCTCTGGTTTCTCTACATCCTTTTCTCCAGTCTTGAGGCTTACTGTGATATACAGGGCTTCTGAAGAGAAGAGATGGGGTGGGATGAGGCGGGGGTTGGAGATGAGGAGAGATAGATGCCAGGAAACTTCTTCTAGTTGTAAATGACAGAGTGAGAGCTAAGGATTGATTCGAAAAGGTCGCTAAGGTTTTGAGCAGGAGCTACAAAAAGGACATTGGTTCTTCAGATACCTTCACGCTGAAGATGAAGAGTGTGAAACATCTCTCTGAGGGGTGGGACAGTCTTAACCTGGAGTCTGAGCTTTTCACAGTCTATATTTTTCTCAACACCTGCTGAGAACGACTTTTTTCTAATGAAGTATTTTGGGAAAAAAATACACAAAAAAATAACAAAAAGGATTCAAAGGACTATTTTCAAATCTGCTTCCAGGATTAGAAATAATATTTCAACAAAAGATGAAAATATATAACTATGTGAAATCTGTTACTGAGTGACATTTGAAGGACCCATAAAGTTATTATTTATTTATTTTCTTCGTTTAGTTTGGTAAGAACTCACAGAGCTTACAGCTTTTACTGTCAGGCCAAAGTCCCGGCTAGGGAGAGTGGCTCGGAAACACCGAACGCTGAGTAGACAAATGGAGAAGAGAGACGAATATGAACAATGGCTGAACACTGCATTTTCTCCCTGATATTCCTGTATGGATATAATCTGCTTCCATATTTTTTCTGTACTTTTGTGTATTTCCTTGCCAAGTGTTATTTCGAGAATCACAGAGGCTTCAGAGGGTTGCGGGAGAACAGAATGCAAAAAAAAAAACATGATACAGAGGGAAAATGAGGCCTTTTTGCATTTGAACATTCATCAAAATGAATCACTAGTGTATTTTCTGATAACACCGTGGAGGAGAGCGCACTGCATCTGCTATTACAGTTGTTGTTGTTTTTGTATTTCAGTCTTTCAGTGTCGTTGAACAAACATAAAGCACCCCAAAGAAATCTCCCACCCCCACTTCACCCCAGAGAGTCCCTCTATATAGAGTCACGAGACCATTTAACCAGGAGCTCCTTAAGTGCGCATCTAAACAGTGTCTGAAGTGTCAGTGATGTCGGTGGTGAATTCTATGTTTTATTGGGGCCTTTAATGTGGTTCATAGTGTTTACAGGCCTTCGGTCCAGAAAAGAGTGAGAATGGTGCATTACAAACAGATTCGTTTAACATGGTGAGGAGAGTTTTTTGCATTTCAGGGAGAAGTATAGAAATTTTGGGCAAAGCTGCATAAATAGTTCACCTAAAATTGAAAATTTGCTGAAAATTTACTCACCCTCGGGCCATCCAAGATGTAGATGAGTTTGTTTCTTCATCGGAAATATAACATTACATCACCTGCTCAACAATGGATCCTCTGCAGTGAATGGGTGCCGTCAGAATGAGAGTCCAAACTGATAAAAACATCACAGTAATCCACATGACTCCAGTCCATCAATTAATGTCTTACTCTATACCAGTCCAAAATACCAGTCCATAATCTATAATAAGGCTTCCTCCTGTGAAAAAGTCTATCCTCTGTTGTCCTCTCACATCAAAATCCACCAACATATTTGTTTAGAACTGTTTGGGACTGTTTTCTCTTGTAAACAGTGCTCGATCTGTGATCTGGTTCGAAAGAGATTACCTTTTTCACTTGAGAAAGCAGTAGCATGGATAGAAGACTTGTATTTTAGCCAAGCCAACAGTTTGAAGTTAAAAACATCTTAATGATGAATTTGTTAATTACAAACATGTAGCCTTTTGCTTCACAACATGTTAATTAATAGACTGGATTATTTTTTATCAGCTGTTTGGACTCTCATTCCGACGGCACCCATTCACTGCAGAGGATCCATTGGTGAGCAAGTGATGTAAGACAGAATTTCTCCGAATCTGTTCTAAAAGGGAAGAAACGAACTCATCTACATCTTGGAGGGTGAGTACATTTTCAGCAATTTCTCATTTTTGGGTGAATTATTCTTTTAAAAGCGGTTATTAATTCATCTGACTAAAGTATTTCCGTGCCTATTTTTGCTGTAGTGAGCTGAAAAATAATGATGTGGATGTTGTTTCTGTATTATTTGGGGAAGTGATGTCATAAAGAATTGTTTAGCCCAGAACCAAAGAACAGAACCTCAGACTGCCACCCAAAAGCTGCAGTGGTTCTCTGGGCCACAGGGGGGCCACAGCCCCGTTCCACCTGTTTGTTTGTACAACTCTTGCATTTTGTGTGCACGAGTGTGTATGTTGATGTTTCGTGTTTGCTCATTACAAATACAGGCCAAATCAGTTTTATCCATGACACCAGTGTTGGGATCACAGCATCTACAACAGACATGTTTCATTTTTGTTATGTTTACATTCATATATAGCTGTGTATGTGTTGCTTGTGAGTGAGAGCAGTCGTAAACGCATTTAATCTCTGAAAATCTCTCCATCCAAATTGCAAATGTAACTGCTGGCATCGCTTCAGCCTGCTCTGTGCTTCCTACTCAGTGGCTACTCAGTACATAATCGATGTGCTTTAGCTTTACAGTACAAGAATCACACAGAAATCACAAAAAACATCACAGTAATCCACATGACTCCAGTCCATCAATTAATGTCTTACTCTATACCAGTCCAAAATACCAGTCCATAATCTATAATAAGGCTTCCTCCTGTGAAAAAGTCTATCCTCTGTTGTCCTCTCACATCAAAATCCACCAACATATTTGTTTAGAACTGTTTGGGACTGTTTTCTCTTGTAAACAGTGCTCGATCTGTGATCTGGTTCGAAAGAGATTACCTTTTTCACTTGAGAAAGCAGTAGCATGGATAGAAGACTTGTATTTTAGCCAAGCCAACAGTTTGAAGTTAAAAACATCTTAATGATGAATTTGTTAATTACAAACATGTAGCCTTTTGCTTCACAACATGTTAATTAATAGACTGGATTATTTTTTATCAGCTGTTTGGACTCTCATTCCGACGGCACCCATTCACTGCAGAGGATCCATTGGTGAGCAAGTGATGTAAGACAGAATTTCTCCGAATCTGTTCTAAAAGGGAAGAAACGAACTCATCTACATCTTGGAGGGTGAGTACATTTTCAGCAATTTCTCATTTTTGGGTGAATTATTCTTTTAAAAGCGGTTATTAATTCATCTGACTAAAGTATTTCCGTGCCTATTTTTGCTGTAGTGAGCTGAAAAATAATGATGTGGATGTTGTTTCTGTATTATTTGGGGAAGTGATGTCATAAAGAATTGTTTAGCCCAGAACCAAAGAACAGAACCTCAGACTGCCACCCAAAAGCTGCAGTGGTTCTCTGGGCCACAGGGGGGCCACAGCCCCGTTCCACCTGTTTGTTTGTACAACTCTTGCATTTTGTGTGCACGAGTGTGTATGTTGATGTTTCGTGTTTGCTCATTACAAATACAGGCCAAATCAGTTTTATCCATGACACCAGTGTTGGGATCACAGCATCTACAACAGACATGTTTCATTTTTGTTATGTTTACATTCATATATAGCTGTGTATGTGTTGCTTGTGAGTGAGAGCAGTCGTAAACGCATTTAATCTCTGAAAATCTCTCCATCCAAATTGCAAATGTAACTGCTGGCATCGCTTCAGCCTGCTCTGTGCTTCCTACTCAGTGGCTACTCAGTACATAATCGATGTGCTTTAGCTTTACAGTACAAGAATCACACAGAAATCACAACAATTCGCACTGAACATTCACCAGTGCTCTCTGACTCATACAGGCTTGTGTTAATGAGGTTTTAGTATTTAAACTTTTGTTTATGTGCAGAAAGGCAGGAGTGTGTGTTAGCTTAGCTACACAACAGACACTTTCTTTATGCACACACACTGACTTTGTGAGCATGTACTGCCTACATAGACAGCATCATATACTTCTAATATATGCAACTAATTATGCAGTTTTCTAAAATGCCTTACTTTGGACATATTTTAGGCAGCATTGCTTGTATTCTTTATCGTCCAAAAAGGATTGTTAAAAATTGTTCAGTCTAATTTAAAATTGATTTTTTTGCATAGGTGATTTATATTACCTGATATGTACACTATCAATAAAACAAGTCAGTTTGTTTTTGAAATAAATTAACACTAATTTTTTTCACCATAAAATTGATCAAAAGTGACAGTAAAGACCTTTATAATGTTACAAAACATTTCGATTTAAAATAAATGCTGTTCTTCAAATTTGTATTCATTAAAGAATCCTGAAAAAATGTATTATGGTTTCCACAAATATATTAAGTTGTACAACTGTTTACAACATTGATAATATTAAGAAATGATTCTTGAGCACCAAATCAGCATATTAGAATGATTTCTGAAGCATCATGTCACACTAAAGACTGGAGTAATCAATGGCTGCTGAAAATTCAACTTTGCCATCACAGAAATAAATGACATTTTAAAATATATTTAATTAGGAAAAGTTATTGTAAATTGTAATAATATTTAACAATATTACTGTCTTTACTGTATTTTTGGCCAAATAAACACAAGCTGTCTATTTTTATGCAATCACGTTGTTAGCTTAGCGGCATGATAACAGTAAACTTCTCTGAAACATTTGTGAGTCGAGACTCCCAAGGAGCACAATTTACATGAAACACTGAATTGCTGCCTATGTATAGAGCGTTCCAAATCATTCACATCTGATGTTCCCTGTGTAGGCAGTAGACAGCAAGGCAGCTCACTAATTTTGTCAACACAGCCACTCACACACCTCATAAGCTGTTCCGTGCACCAGTATTAGGCATGATAAAGTAAAAAATGTCATTTACACTGTATTCAGTTTGAACACTCAGTGACTTTCAGCGTGCTGCTTGTTTTCTGCCAGCATGTGTTGTTGAATGTGTCTGGTGTCAGTCAGAGGGCAGCTAAAGTAGATCACAGTAGATCTTCACATCTGTGCACATGTGTATCTTTCAGATGGTTTGTGGTAAAGGTAGCACTCTTATAAACCTTATTACCCAGTTTAGCTGACTCAGTTACCAGCGTTGGGCTCAAACGTAGAGTGTTTAGGACTTTGAATTGCTCTTCATGTCTCAGCCTGGGTCAGATCACACACACCTATGCACTCACACATGCACACTTGAGTTAACACTGCTGTTGACTAGGGAGGGTTGTTATGAATATGTGGGTGGGTCTTCATGTAGTATCATGGTTGAGCATGAAAGTCAGCTGCAACCACCAGCTTTGAACTTTTCTACTGCCAGCTAACACTTCCAGCTGTTTAGATGCAGGTGAACTGGTTTAAAAGAGATTTCAGATGATGTCACTATAATCTTGAAGTCACACAAGTCTTACAAATGTATCAGGGGTCTGAGTCTCTCTCTCTCTCTCACACACACACACAAACACTCCTCTTCAGCCTGGTGATGAAGCAGATGGTGGTTATGTTCATCTATTGTTGTTTTCTTTCTTTTTTGTTTTGTTTTTTACTCTTCTCTCACAAAAATATCATGTTTTATTTTCAGGGAATTATGCATGAAATCTACCTTCATTTAATTAATTTATGTCCGCTGATTTATTTACTTTTGGTCAACAGAAAAATAAAAAATAAATATTTGAAAAATCTCTGGTATCAGTTGTCATAAGTTTTATCTGGTCAAAGTATTTCAATCAGATTGTGTCACATGGTCACCAACAGTTACAAATGTAAAATCATATTTTTGCTATATCAGTAGGGTAGCACAACTGAGGGAATTGAATATATGATTAAGATCAATTTTAACCACACACTGGGTTTCTTAGCAAAAACTGTATTTTTCATGTAAGTCAAGGGTGGGGAAAGTTGTCACGTGTTTTAATATCATAAATTTATATTAAAACACATTTCTTCATTACAATATGATAAAACTGTGATTTGTCATTTTTGTGCATGGTTTACATTTTTGCTATTTCATTAAATATTTTGTTTCAGAATTATTTTATAACATTCATTTTTTTATAATATTTTATTTTATAATTATAAGCTGTTTAATGGCATAACATACCCTAGAAAGTGCGACAACATGCCTGCGATTAGTCAAAAAAAAGGTCAATATTACCTATACAAATCAGCTATATCGTTTTTCCTTTGCAATAATAGCTGTTTGAGGTCTTAGAAATGTATATTTGAGCTATTCACTGGTGTAAACGTGACAACTAACCCCAGTCTCGTTTTATAAGCTGATCTCCTTGTCCCTTTCGAAGAAAATGTGCTAAAACAGGCTACTTATACGGTGGCCGAGAGAGCTCAACGCGCTGCAACTTAAGAAAACACATGCAAATTGAAAAAACACCAGCAAATTAAGAAAACATCTTCATCAGTTTGACAACACACGCGCTGCAAATCCTCACAACACATGCAAATGAAGAAACGCGCTGCAACTCCGTTGCAGCGCGTTGAGCTCTCTCGGCCACCGTATACTTATGGTAATTCGGACTATTTGCTGTGTTAAATAGAAATGTATTGATCTTTCTGCTCAACTCAACCTTTTTCTACTGTAGTGCGCTGTCCAGCCCCGTGGTGCTGAAATGATTCTCCAGCATTGCTGTGAAAGAGATTTAGTGGGCGGGTCTTATAAAGAGGCGAGACGTGATTGATGCGCCACTGCGCCAATCAAAACGCAGCAATCAGGAATTCGTCAACACGTTAAACCACTGGAATCATGAGCTGGGAGGGGGTGAGTGCCGCTGGTTCGGGAGCGGATGAGGGGTGCGGGACAATGTTGTAGCCAATTAAAGCAAAAAGTGCCTTATGTTCGGGACCGAAAGATAATTTAACGAGCCGTAGCGGTCCCTTGTGAGATGGGCTGCGGGTCTGGAGCTCGTTGAGGCGAGAGGTAGCTCGGATTAATTGCTACTTATGCTGCGGCTTTGCGCCTGGTCTTGAGCTCTGCGGCAGGTGAGGAGCTGAACCGGGCCGGGCCGCCCTTATGGATCGGCAGCATGGATGCTTTCAGTTTCCCCTTTAACAGCAGCGGCGGCCCGGACAGCAAAGACGGCGATGAAGCCGCAGAGCCCCGGCCGGAGTTTGGCCCTGCGGCGGTGGCGACCCCGTCCGGAGCCGGTTACTGGACCGCCGTGTTCGATTACGAAGCTACCGCCGAGGATGAGCTCAGTCTGCGGAAGGGGGATCGGGTGGAGGTGTTATCCAAGGACTCGCTGGTGTCCGGGGATGAGGGGTGGTGGACAGGTATAATCGAGGACCGGGTCGGTATTTTCCCTAGTAACTACGTGAGCAGTAACGGCATCTCGGAGAAGATTCGGGACACGCCGGAAGACTATGGCGATTATTCGGTGCCTCAGTTACATTGTGAGTAACCATATATTTATCTACATAAACCATACATACATACACCCGCCTTCACTGAGAAGATGGCATGCGTTATGTTTTGTTTAGTTTTTTTTTTTTTTTTTTTTTTTTTTTAATAAATACTGTAACTGTATATAAATAATACTAAAACAACACTGCCAGTATAAATAAAGTTTCATTATAGGAAAAGAGAAATTAAATTTATTTCTATTTTACATCAAATATATTCAAAAGTAAGTTTTTATCTTTTGACAAGATTATTGGTAGATTTTAAATGGTATTTCACCAAGCAGACAAGCACCAGTCAGTAAATCGGCCTGGCTGATATAAATTGTTATATCATTACTCCAAGTAAAGAATACCATGGTCTTCATGGACCAAGAAAAACATGGCCTTACATATTAAAAAAGGTTCAATGCAATAAGATATCCATATGTTAAATAAAACATAAATTACACTGATCTGAGGTGCCATATTTGACCATAATTTGAAAGTGTTTACACACTGATCAATAACCACATCAGCACAGCTTTTGCTGCACATTCTTTACTGAGGGGAAAAAACCTTAACCAATCTAAGATAGTGTACTGATCTTCCAGCATGGCTAAACTGGAGCTTGAATTTTTAAAGGTCTAAACCCTTTAAATCCAGCCAATTTACCAGACTGGGAGACTAACTAACACCTGCAAACAAGCTTAGACAACTGGTTTCAGATTGTTCCAAGATGGGCTTTAGCTGGTTGACCAGCACTTTTTTTTCCAAAAATCAGCTGATAGGTAGTCAGTGATGGTCTACCAGCTAATAGGCCTAACAGCTGCCATGTCTCAAAAGACAATCTTAAAGGAATAGTTAAAGGAAATTCTGTCATCATTTGCTCACCCTCATTTACTCCAATCCTGAATGACTTACTTTTATGTATGTGGATTGTGGAACACAAAAGAAAGTCAAACAACATTGGACCCCATTGACTTTCATTGTATGGACAGAAAACTGAGACGTTTTTCAATATATTTTACATTAAGATTTGTATGCATTTATTTATACATTAAGATTTGCTCCCATTTAGACACAAGCAGGCACAGATTTTGGGTGATGGGGCTCATCTGGATTCATATTCCACACCAGACTCAGTAAAACAGTTTATTGGTGGCATGGTTTTTTCCTCATACTTTAAGGCATTTAGTGTATTTGTTGATATGGGGTCCTTTATTTGTTTGTGTTGTGCTGTGTGCTTATATTGAGGAAGCGTATCTGCTATGTTTTGCATCTCTCATGCTCTCTGTTATCGTGTGAGTGCCCTTGTGTTGTCAGTTGCATGTCATGTGTTGCTGGTGGTCGTCTGCTTTTCCTGAATGGCTGCTGGCCTACTTTTTATCATGTGGTTCTTGCCAACAGCAATATTAATAAGAGAGACCGTGGCCCAGACACACCGTCATCCCGACGGCCGGGGAGAGTCGATCGCACGCACATCTTTGTTTTACTGCTTTACATTTTTTCCCACGTCAGCCATCATTTTTAAAGAACGTATCTCACAGTGTGAATCTGCTTTCTGGAGATACCAGTCTCTTTCTGCCTGAATCTATCAGGCATTTGAGCTGTTATTCATATCAAGGGCATGTAAATCAGAATACATTTCTGTTTGTTTTCATATTCAGCCCCTTTCTGATTCAGTCTCTCAAATAAACATGATGAATCACACTATGTATTCCCAGATGGAAAAACATATACACTACCTATAAAAAGTTTGGAATAATTAAGATTTTTATAATGTTTTTGAAAGATGTATCTTATGCCCTCCAAAGGCATCATTTATTTGATCAAAAATATGATAAAAACAGTAATATTATGAAATAGTATTACAATTTAAGTAACTCTTTTCTATTTTAATATATTTTAAAATGTAATTTATTCCTGTGTTGGCAAAGCTGAATTTTCAGCAGCCATTACTCCAGTCTTTAGAGTGACATGATCCTTCAGAAATCATTCTAATATGATGATTTGCTGCTTATTATCATCATCAATGTTTAAACAGTTTTTGCTACTTAATATATTTTTGGAAACTGTGATACACTACCATTCAAAGATTTGTGGTAGGTAAGATTAAAAAATATATATGTTATTTAATACTTTTATTCAGCAAGGACGCAATAAATTGTTCAAAAGTTAAATTAATCAGGGACACTTATAATGCTCCAAAAGATTTCTTTTTTAGATAAATGCTATTCTTTGAACTTTATATTTATCAAAGAAAAATATTAAGCCACAAAACTTTTTCAACACTTATAATATTAAGAACCATTATCAATAATTGAGCACCAATAATAATTTTGTCAGCATATTAGAATGATTTCTGAAGGATCGTGTGACTCTAAAGACTGGACTAATGGCTGCTGAAGATTTAGCTTTTCCATCACAGGAATAAATTATCATTTAAAATATATAATATAGAAAACACAATATATTAAATATTACTGCTTTTACTATATTTCTGATCAATTAAATGCAGCCTTGGTGAGCATTACAGATTTCAAAAACATTAAAAACATCTTTTTTATTAGTAATTAGAAAACAGGATACATCTGTGGCAGTGTTTGAGACCTGTTTTCTCTTTCTTATCAGTACTTCAGATAGATTTCAGTGAGCTGGCGCTGGAGGAAATGATCGGCGTCGGAGGTTTTGGAAAAGTGTACCATGCCATTTGGAAAGGGATGGAGGTGGCAGTGAAAGCTGCTCGACGGGACCCCGACGAGGACGTGTCGCAGACGCTGGAGAGCGTTCGTCAGGAGGCCAAGCTCTTTGCCATGCTGAGTCACCCCAACATCATGGGCCTTCTGGGAGTGTGCCTGCAGGAGCCCAACCTCTGCCTGGTGATGGAATATGCCCGTGGTGGGCCACTCAACCGGGCCCTGGCTGGGAAACGCATCCCTCCTCACACGCTGGTGGACTGGGCGGTACAGATTGCAAGAGCCATGTTGTACCTGCACTGCCAGGCCATTGTACCCGTCATCCACAGAGACCTGAAGTCCAGCAACAGTAAGACAGCTGTCGATATTATTAGACCTTATGTCAAGGGTTTTTAAAAGCTTTATGCCAAGGACCCCAAATAATTTCAATTTCAAAAACTTTATTGTCTATCCCCAGTGGGGTAGAAAATTGTCTTCAGACAAAAGGCTCAACACAAAAACAGCACAAATAGTCCGCACAACAACAAACTACATTACATCACAAAAACACAACTAAAACAATACATAAAAAAAAAAAATAATAATAACTGTAACCCTCTTGCTAGGGCCCCTCTTCCTAAAATATAATGGCAGAGATATAATTTCATGTATAAAGAAACATTTATACTGTTAGTGGAAAATAATCAACATCATATTATAAAGGAAATATATATTGTTTCCGTAATTAATTAATAGGATAAAATAATGTATATTTTTATGTATTTTATGCTAAAAAAAAAAAGCAGAGTATTTATGTATTCATTTGACAGTGTATCTTTTTTCTGCCCACTATATTTCAATTTTTTCTGCCCAGTATTAGAGTAATGTTAGATGTATAAACCTTTAAAAAGATTTGGTTTAAATGTAGTATTATTTACTAGGACTGGCAATAAAATTAAATAAATAGTTTTCAATAAGTGTTTCAAAAGGAAAATGAAACAGTAATCTCAAATTCATTATTATTCATTAATATTTTGTTAATATGTTTAATTCTTAGACATTCAGATATTTAATTTCTGAAGTTAACATGGTAACTTTGACAACCTTAAAACATCTTATAAAATCCTTTTATATAAAATATATTTAATAAAATATTTTATATCTTAAGTTAACATGTTAACTTTAACAACTTTAAAAAATTCATCTTGCGAAATCTTTTTTTCCAATTTTTTCACTAATATATTTATTATACTTTATAATATATGTAATATCTAAAGTTAATATAGTATCATTGACAACCTTAAAAAATGCATTTTACTAAATATTTTTCCTCAATTTTTCACTCTAATATCTTTAACATGAAAAAAAAAACTTAATATCTAAAGTTAACATGATATCTTTGACAACCTTAAAAAGCAAATTTTTGCTAAATCCTTTTTTTCTCTTATATTTTCTCCCAACACCCCTTTGCGGCCCCCAATTTGAAAACCTTGGAATATGCAGCAATTTCATAGTCTGCTCTTTTTCATGTGTATATGGTTGTTTGTGTCAGTGGATTGTATAGTATTGTGCATAGAAGGAGTGTGTGTTGGTGTGTGTTTTTGTAGCTGGAGGGCTTGGCTGGTGTATTGGCTCTCTGAGTATGTAAGTGGTTTGTAATCCTATGTTTGGCAGTTGACTTGTCTGATTGGATCCTCTAAACCCAAAGCGTATTACAGAGGATTTGCATTCACCTTCACTCCCTGCCAATTGATTGGCTACTCAAAACATGTCCTGGGCTCTCATAGGCCACTCGGATATGATTAGCATAGGACCTTGCAGACATAGGACCTTTTCATTGGTTGTGTTGTGGAAAAACAAAAGTCAGCTAATTTTAACAACACAAACGTAGACAAAAACACATGGAATCTTACAGCCAAACTGTGATGTACATGAAGCTTTTGAACTGTAAATCTAACATTAAACTACACAACCAACCATCACTGAATTTGACTCATGACCTTTTCCATTCATGCTATACTGTGTTCTAATGAGGTTTAGAGTTGAAGTTGTTACAGTGAAAGCTTTGACCAATTCAGCACTAATCTGGTGGACAGCTCCTTCACAAAGCTGCCTGTCAATCAAATACTGAAGACTTCTGTTTTTTGCTGTAGTCATAGTAACCTCTGTATTATGTACTTAATCATCATTATTGACGTTATCTCCGCCCCTCAGTCCTGATTCTGGAACGCGTGGAGAACGACGATCTGAGCAACAAGACTCTAAAGGTGACAGATTTTGGTTTGGCTCGGGAGTGGCATCGAACCACGAAGATGAGCGCAGCGGGGACGTACGCCTGGATGGCCCCTGAGGTCATCCGCTCCTCGACCTTCTCCAAGGGCAGTGATGTTTGGAGGTGGGCACCAAGAAATGTGTGTAGGTGTGTGTGTTTGTGACCTAGCTACGCCAAAGGCATGTCATTCCACATGGCAACCATCTTGGCAAGTCTTCAGCATCTCGTATTGTCCCTGTGTAACCTTTTTAAAAAAACAAATATGTTGAGAGAATTCTCCAGAAATGATTTTAGCCCATTTGGGACTTCTTCAAAAACATACATTGTTTATAAAAAGTGTAAAGAATGTCTATATTATGAAATAAAAATGAAAAGAAAAATGTAGGCTTAGGTTTTGATTAGTCTGTAGTTACTGTAATCTGCTTAATCTAAGAATAATAGAAGTGTTCTTATTGTTAACTAAAACTAATAAAAATTATTTTGGTAATTGAAACTGTTCTGAAATAAAATAAAATATAAATATTTGATGAAAAACTTGCCTTGACAACTTAAAATTAAACAAGGTTGAGTACTAAAATCACTAAAACTAAAACTGAAATAAAATAAATTAAAGCTAAAATGTAAGTAATAAACTAATTATGTGTGTGTGTCTATATATACTCTCTCTCTCTCTCTCTCTCTCTCTCTCTCTCTCTATATATATATATATATATATATATATATATATATATAT